AGTTCTTTATTTATTTTTATTTATTTTTATTTATTTATTTATTTATTTTTATTTTATTTTTAACTATATTTTTATACTTATTTACTTATTTGTTTTGTGTTATGATATTTTCCTTATTTTTTATTTAATTAATTTCTTTTGCAAGGAACCTTGTATTGTTCCCCTTACTGATCACTATAAATTGCACAATGCATAAAGGGTTTGCTGTTTACGATAAAATCCAATACAGTAGGAAATTTTTGTTTCAAATAACCATAATTTTTGCTGCAGTGTAAAAAGGAATTTATTTTAATAAACTTAAAATTTCTTCTAATTTTATCAGAAAAATATCCAAAATGTTATATCTTCCACACAGTCATCAAAGTGTTTACAAAGGATGTTGTATACAAATGTAAGGATTGAATTCGTAAAAAGGTTGCAAGAAATCTTTCTGTATAGAATTCTAAAAATATTGCAATTAATAATGTAAATTTGCAAATGTTCTCTAAACAACTAAATGCCATAATATATATAGGCCTAATAGAAAAGATATATACAAACAGGGGTATTTGTACTAACATATTACCCCATACCAAATATTCTCAATACAAATCTAGTAAAGGCTGAGCGCCTTTTAGAAGAGGGTGCAACTTTTGTCATGTCTTTCTTACTTTTACTTCCCATAATTCTACCAGTTCTACTGGGATGTATAAACTCACTACACAACTTAGCGGTGCCATACAACTTTGTCTTTTCCAAAGCATCGGCAACACTTCTTGAAGTGTGCCTGTAACTGATAGGGTGCCAAGGAGAACGCAAAAGAGATCTAGGCATAGGTGTTTTACGAGCACGCCTACCCCTCATCCTCCACAGAGGATCAGCCACAATAATTTCCCCCCTTTCGTTTCTCCCCTCACCACCACCATACAAAGCTTTAGTAGCAACAGGAATACGACTAGGTTTATGTATTCTTTGGATTACAACTACTGGGCAGTGAGACCTCACAGTAGAACGGAGACACCCGTTAACTGCTACAGGGATTCTAGACCTAACCGTAGGTTTTTCTAGAACATTCTTAGCAAAGGTAAACAGCGTTGAAGCCATAGTGGTTAGCGTTGTATTTGATACCTTAGTTTTGGATCTAAATATGCCACCACATCCACATGGGCAATAAAATGCGTGGTAGTGGGTCCTACAACGGGTGGATACAGTGGAAGTACACATGTCTGAAAGGAGCAAGAATTATCTTTGCTGTACATAACTATTTGTTGATTCTTATGTCATTGTAAATGTACAGAGACGTGCATGTGAGATGTAGTACATGTTCGGGCATAATTGTTGGGGTTTTATTTACCTCTCACTAAAATGCGAGAGTTAGCAAAAAATCTTTATTGGTCTTTCTAAGAGTTTGATCAAAATTCACTCAAATCTCCTGCAGCTTACTCTGGTCAGACATAAAAAAAAATATATATATTTTCTATGTTTCACCCAAATAAAAATCCAACAGATCAAAGGTGAGTCTATCAATAAAATAAACAAATGAGAAAAAATTCTTTCCGTTTTTTTTTTTTTTTTTTTTTTGAAAACAGAAATAAGACATGGTCAGAAAATCAAAAAATCCAATTTCTAAAAAAATGGAATTTTGAATACATAGATCTAATATGCAGAAAAACTCACCGATATCTCTTTCAAGATACAGTGGTGAAATGATGTAGAACAGGTGAAAGCCTGAGGCTACTGACAGTTGAAACTGCTTAGAAATTCGCTGTGAAGTGACGTAAGTCTGTTCACTGTGCAAGCTCGTTGTCAACTGACGCTCGTGGAGCGTGCTGGCTTTATATACTATGGCGTAATGATCTGTCTGTTGCCTTGACGATATCCGAAAAACAAAATAGTTTTTTAGTTTCATATCAATTTTTCACATATTCCTCGATTGAAAAAAAACGTGAAACAACAGAAATAATTAGACAATGCAAAACTCAGCATTATTATCATTGATAGAATATTTGATTAATTAGTTTAGTTGGATATCAAAATAATTTTAAAAAGATGTGAATGGGTCTGTTGCCAAAACAAAAAAATACTAGTAAAATAGCAACTGACGTCAGCATTTGGCAACTTGCCAAACAACGTTATCCATCTACGTCACAATCCAGCGTATTACAACGTAATCTGCCATGTCTGGCCTGACATTCTTGTGGAATCAGCCGAGGATTGCCGATTGCGTTTTTGTTGCACAGCACGTCATGTAAAACGTGGTCTAGATAGTCTAATACTGTACCAACCTGTAGTATTCAATCTCCGTGTGCTTAGATCTATGTTAAATTTCATTTATTGCTTCTTATCTTTTATTTGTGAAACGTGATTTAATAGACGTTAACGGTGACAGTGATTATCAAAGTGTCCTATAGTAGGTTCTCGAATGGGTTATAAAAATTGTCTAGATTAAATCTCCATTACAAATCCATTTGATACGTGGAACTCCTCATACCATATTTTTATAAAACTATGTCTGACTTTGCTTATTGCATCTGAATTTTGAATAATTATACAGCTTTTATGTTTTTTTCCCCTTCGGTTGGGGGACGTTCTTCACTTAGTTCCGCCCCAAATGCTGAATTCATCCTTATTACTCTGCAGCACTTTTGATTGACAAAATCTTGATTTAAATGTCGTATGGGTATTTTCCCCCATGGATCTTGTCTTGTCGTATATTTAAAAAGAGTATTTCAGTGATAATATTATTAGTGTCAGTTCCATGTACTGTTAGTGCTGTATTAATTGATCAATGCCGATTCAACTTAGCACGCCTTGTCATAGGACCTTGTATAAACTTTAGGCGAGAATTCTATTAGTCTATACTATATATATACTACTGTACGACCTGGCCATAGTGTCAATAACTGTCAGGAGACACACATTTCAAATGCTTTGACTGAGAACTGTCTGTACTCAAATTAGATATAAATATGTCTCTCTACATTAATTCTTAAAGCAGCTTATGCAGTACAGCTTAAACATAATGCATGTGCAATCCACGGGTTTCATTAGATGAACAACTTACCTGCCCGTTAACAAAATACATGGCAGCCAAGAAGTTGATTTATCCCAAGCAGTCAGTCTTTTCCAATTCACAGATAACCGAATGTTCTAGCACTCTGAGAATTGATCAACTGCACTGTCCATGGCTGTTAATACGCAAAGTAAATGTAGAAGTAAGGCTCCTATATCCTATGTGACACCTTTTCTAAGGTCCTTCAGGTATCAAATATCAGCTCACTTTTCCAGTTTAATGAAAATGATGCCTCTTTTGATGATGGTCCTTGTAATACTTCTAACAAGACATAAGATCCCACACACTAGGGCAGCTAAAGGTGTATCAAGTGGAGGAGGATCACGTCTGTATAATGTCCTAAGCTAAATGCAAACGCTAATGTAAAAGCTACACCTTAACCGCAGCTTTTGTCATTCAATTATATTGATCTTTACTAAGTCTTAACTCATGGACTGTGCGTAAATGCAAATATCAACGTGCTCCTTGCCACCGACTATTAAAACTCACACGTAATGTAACAATAGCTTATTGCATAGAACCCAGCACAGTGGAAGTTTTTCCTGTATTCAAGAAGGAGAAAGATAAACATATTAAACAAACAGTCTGCTCAATTAAGTATTGGTGGCCAGCAGGCAGAGACATACAGGCACACATAATTACTGGTCTTCCTAATGGCCAGCGATATAATCACGAGGTCCGAGACAAACAACAGCAGTGACCAGGTCGATCAATTATGAGAGTGTTTAAGCTAACACTAACTACCTTGGGCTTTATGAGCACCTGAATAGCTGACTGGAATTTTAATTACAGAGAATTCTGACAAAAGCAGAAAAGGACAAGAGGTAAAATATTTCCTTGTTCAATGTGGTTCACCATTGTAAATAAAGTGTCAGATCCAAAACCTGTTTTCATCATAATTCAGATGCACAATGATAAAATGCTGACAAATATGAATGTAAATGTCACAGGTGTCAGGTTAAAAGCAAATTCAAGAAATCCTGAGAAGCATAAAAAAACTTCAATCTAAATACCTCATTTCTTTCTTTCTCTCCAATTTTCTTGGGTGTGTTCATGTCTTTCTTTCTTTTTATTTATATAAATATGTTAAAAAACATGTGGCACGTGACGAACACTATTTTTTTTTGCATAAGGTATTACATCAACAGCATACTGAATTTCTCAGTAATAACACCACCACAGAAATGATGGCAACATTTTCTATACTGGAATACTATGCATAAAATTCTTCCTCAAGAATATGGGCAGTGGACTGTTAGGAAAAAACAGGTCAGCAGTGCAAACGTAAAATCAATGTCAGGTGAATTAAGTCTGCAATGTTTGTAAAACAGATTTTCTACCTGCGAATTATGCAATATCCTTCAAGTACCTAAAACCCTGTGAGCATCAGCAAGTTACCCACTGATGACTTTATATGGAATATTTACACTCAAAGATACAGCTTATAATATAGATATAGCTGTATATATGAACTTATTCCGATGGGATGGGGCGGGTACCAGTATATCAATTCTCTATACATGTACTAAGCATACTTTTTTTGCATTTTTACATATAATAAACAGATTTTTAGCTTGAAAAAAATTTGATGAATCTGTCTTTCTCCCATGTATTGACAAACTGTAATACACAATTTTAAGCTAATATCTGAGAGCAGAATTTTTACATCCAAACTTGTGATCACTTGGTCAAATTTACATAAACCTATATAACAATACCTGAACCAGCTGAAAGGTCCTGGGCATATTCTCCTCACGACTTGACCCAACGAGAAAAAGAACCGCTCCGTCTTGTGCCTCTGTTTCAATGTCTGTGAGCAGTACTGGGGATGATGAGGAAAAGGAGTCCTCTGTATCACTCACCAGACCCTCCCATTGGTTCCAGTCAGGCATAGGTGATCCAAGATGACGTGTTGGGTGACAAATCAACCCAGAGCTCAGTGGGAAGAGATGTTGTGGGTGAGGGGGAAGCCTCAGTGAATGTTATCGGCCAGTTACTCAGGGGACAAGCTTAGAGAGTGCTTTCCACCAGGGTCACATACCTGAGTGGGGATCAAGCATCAAGCAGATCAACATGATCACATTGTCAACTGGGACAATATTGACGCACCTTGGCTACCTGCTGGTCTTTGTGCAGCTAAATCGCTAAGAAAGACACTCTCTTTCACTCGGGCTTCTTGCATTCATAGGTAAAGAAGGGAGTGTTGGAGGAATAACACAGCCAGTGTTAGTATAAGCTTCCTGCTACAGTAGAACTAACATGGGCAGCTCCACCGTGTCACATGATTCTTGCTTCACTGATGCCATTGAGACCATTTTTATTCAAACTTCAATCCCATTCTAAAGATATAAAAATTTCCCATTTGGTCGGACTTTTCAACTTCCCCTTTCTCATCGGCCAATAATCTTTTTGACTCACCCCTTTCAATAATGAACAAGTAAAGATAATCCAGCAATTCTCCCCTAAATGTCATGTGAAGATTAACTGTATAGCTTGAGAATGGAGCTAGGCACCCACTGAATGGCAACACGACAAGTGCATGGAAGTTTGAATAGAAACCATCATCAGAGAACAATTTTCATAGCTCCACTGCTGTGATGTGCTCAATTTTACCAGAACTGATTTCTATAGCAAATGCGCACCTAGCTGTGCACGGAATTTCTCTGGTGTGTAATAACCTCTGGAACTTTCATTTTAAGTATAACAAAAACATCTGTATATTAATTTTTCTTATATACTCTATGGTTATTTTGAAAAAAAAAATCACAATGATGTAATCAATTCTGAAAAGTGATTCCCGTCAATGTAATTTCCTTTCAGAGTTTTCAGTATGGTATTAAACAGACTTCCTAGATTTCCTTCTGTTAAAATATATTACGACTGTGCTTTTCAGTCTTCATCTATTTTCTCCCACTTTTCTGATGAAACCTCAAAACAACAATATCCAGCGCTCAATCAATTATCCTGGAAAACGCATAAAAAGGGCAGTCACATTTTCTTAATGTCCTCACCGTTAGAAAAAACATATTGAAATCAATGCAAATTATGGATCTTTTTAAGCAGTCACAAGGTTTCAAAAGAGATTTGCCTAAAATAAAAAATATTCCATTAAAAAAGTTACATAAGTGCTTGTGTGATTCTAATGAGAAAAAACATGTTATTGTTTAATAGGTTTTCATAAATGGTGAGATAATGTGTTTAGTGAAGAGAGATGGCAGACACCATTTGTCATGGGCGTGTCAATCTGAAAGGAGCAGTTCTTATCACCAGACAGTGAAACCATTGCAAGAACCATTCATCATCTGCAAGGCTCTAAATTAAACATGGTAGACTGAAGACCTTTGCTAATGTCACAGCTGAAGTATTTCTTTTGAAAGATGCGGATGGAGAGCAAACGAATGCATCAGCTCCACTGCTTATAACATTTTCAGAAGTTTATAAGGATTGGAATTTCAGCCCACTCTCTTTACAGTATTATTCTTTTTTTTATTTAATGATGCTAAATATAAAAAATATCAAAATGAAATAAATATTAAAATGGAGCCATTAGCTACCCTGGCCTACCCAATATATGATATCCTAAACTATTCTGCAAGTCTCATTCTAGACAAAATAATATGCCAACATACCAAAGGCTTCTTCCCCCACGCATTTCTTTTTTTCTTGCATTATAAATACACGTAATATAAACACTACATAAAGTATGCATAACCAGTATGTAAGGTTCAGAAATGCTAAATAAATATACACACATACAAACAGATATAATCATCTTTAGATGATAAAACAAATCAATGATGTGCTAAAACTTTAGACGAAAATACATACCAACCCTCTCCTATACTGAATATGCAAACNATTCCATTAAAAAAGTTACATAAGTGCTTGTGTGATTCTAATGAGAAAAAACATGTTATTGTTTAATAGGTTTTCATAAATGGTGAGATAATGTGTTTAGTGAAGAGAGATGGCAGACACCATTTGTCATGGGCGTGTCAATCTGAAAGGAGCAGTTCTTATCACCAGACAGTGAAACCATTGCAAGAACCATTCATCATCTGCAAGGCTCTAAATTAAACATGGTAGACTGAAGACCTTTGCTAATGTCACAGCTGAAGTATTTCTTTTGAAAGATGCGGATGGAGAGCAAACGAATGCATCAGCTCCACTGCTTATAACATTTTCAGAAGTTTATAAGGATTGGAATTTCAGCCCACTCTCTTTACAGTATTATTCTTTTTTTTATTTAATGATGCTAAATATAAAAAATATCAAAATGAAATAAATATTAAAATGGAGCCATTAGCTACCCTGGCCTACCCAATATATGATATCCTAAACTATTCTGCAAGTCTCATTCTAGACAAAATAATATGCCAACATACCAAAGGCTTCTTCCCCCACGCATTTCTTTTTTTCTTGCATTATAAATACACGTAATATAAACACTACATAAAGTATGCATAACCAGTATGTAAGGTTCAGAAATGCTAAATAAATATACACACATACAAACAGATATAATCATCTTTAGATGATAAAACAAATCAATGATGTGCTAAAACTTTAGACGAAAATACATACCAACCCTCTCCTATACTGAATATGCAAACTGTGACCTTTTTTTAACAATGGGCTGTGCCAACATGTAGCAGATGAAAACACTGTTTGCGCTTCCAGTTAAAATATGATATACAAAAGCACCACCTGTGTTTCAATTTTTTCCACTAAACTACAGGTTATGAAAATATCTTTTTAAAAAAAGAACTTACTCCATTATCAGCTGTAACGTCCCTCACCCCATTCCGTCTGCGATTTCTGCGGCCTGAAAGATAAAAGAAATTCATATTTCAGTTACGAGTATTTGTTCTTTTCAACCTGCTCGTCACCATGGAAGAATGGACACACTGACAAGACAGCCATTGATCAGACTCAGTCCTTGATGATTCATTTAGTAATGAGCAGCACTTAGGTATGATGAATGAAAGGAAATACAGGTATGACAACTGGGGTCTTTTTATCGAACATGTCGATATGACATGAGCCTCAATTGGTCAGGTTTATAAGGGCCAGCAGGGGGTCATCCTCCATTAGGTACAAAATATGGTGCTGAAATTATGGGAAGAAAAAGGGACAACACCCATGTAATCTCATATTAGCTTTGGAATGATGACAGGCTATCTGAATGTCCCAGTATGGGCTGTCCTGATCTGCTGTGATATGGAATGTTAGTTTATCCCTGTGTTATGACAAGATATTAAACTAACATAACAAGACAGGTATTTCAGGATAGTGAAAATCAATGAAAACCTACCAGTATATACCCATCCTTCACACAATTATTAGCCAGCTATAATCAGTAAAAGAAGCAGTAAAATTACAGATGCCACAAAAATGTTCAAGTTTGTTCTTAAAATGAACTTTTTATTCAATTCCTACATGTTGTAAATTATTTATAGCTTCTAATAATCAGTTGGAGCACTAAGGCTGTATTCCCAGAGCTTTTAAATCGATCTATCCCCGCGAGGAGTCTCACTAGATTACTGTCAGATAATCTGGCTTAAATGTCCATCCCGCCTACTACAAGCTGTAAGGGGGTAATTAACTTTCGTGTCCGTCCGGCTGACAGCAATTTAGCGTGAACCCCCAGGGAGTTGGGTCGATCTAAAGTAGATCGATCTTATCTCTGGAAATGGAGTCTAATACACCCAACACAGAACAAAGCCCATAAAAACTAGTACCTAACAGTGATAGCATGAGGGTGATAGAACTACTAATCATATTTCATCATTTATATTTCATTCTGTGTGTGTACTACCCTTTTATTAGTTAAGAACAGTGTTGTCAAAGTCACAGGTTGCAGGCAGTTTCATGTCAATTATAGTATATTAATATTGTTATCTTGTAGTATCTTAAAGATTCTATAAATGAACAGTTTTTAGAACGCAAAAATGAACTAAAAATTGTCATCTGTGCTGCTGCTGATTTCTTACATTCTTTTCCTTAAAATATCCCACAATAACAAGAAATCATATGACCTTTAAAAGCAAGCATCTTACACCAATTAAGATGAAGCCACTGCACTAATGAGTGTCTTCTACTAGTCAACATTGTGTGCAAAATTTCTGACATTATTATATATATAATTCATATCCATAGCTGTGCTGAGATCATAAAAAAAAACAGTTCATTTATCATTTACACACTCTAGAGGCAGATATTTCATTTATCTCTCTCTCTCTCTCTCTCTCACACACACACACACACACACACACACACACACACACGTGCACACACACACACACACACACACACACACACACACACACACACACACACACACACACACACACACACACACACACACACACACACACACA